TGCGGGATTGGGTTAGTCTCGAAAAAAGAGACCGGGACATCGCATCTACTTTTTTCGTATCTCTTATAGTTTCTGAGATAGCCTATAATAACACCCAAATTTGCTCACCCTGTACATTTGGGATCTAAAATAATATTATTCGTCGACGTTCTTCTGATAAAAATGTTTCAATTGTTTGGCACTTAAATTCCGTGTGATCCCTTACTTTGTAATAATTCAACTTCCACACATTTATTAATGTTGTTTGAGTGATGAGATGGAAGAATTAGCCTTCATCGCTAATACCATCTTATCGCCATCCGCACACAAACCCTTTGATTTTGTTATAATCACAAATAATTTCTGGCTGTGAAAGTAAAATAGCTTCAGTATTAAAGGTGTTAACCGATACTTGTACCTGTTACTTTGGAACAGGAATTTGTATGTTGTTCCTTGGAACAGTTACTAAATTTAAAAAATAACAGGTACAAAATACTAGTTTATACACAATAACATCAACAATGATAATAAAACAAAATAAACCAAAACACTTAGAATTATTTAAATTTCTGGCAAAAATAGCTCACAAATGTTTGAAATGCCTTCCATAAATCTCGATGCATTTATTTAATCTAGTTTCGACGAAAAAAAGAACGCTGTTTAAGTCTCAGCCTTGGACACGTTTCTAATGGCATTTAGTGTTTTGTCATATATTCCCTGGTTATTGCTTTTTCTTGAAAAGTCATGTCGTTTACACTACCCCATAGATAATGTGGGTTTTGCTCGAACCAAGAATGCATATTATGCAAGTTTACACCAGCTTGTTAAAAGATGCTTCATGCATCTATAGCATTTGTGATAAAAGGTTGTAACCACTCTAGTCGTACGAATACATACGACACAACAATGATTTGGTTCTTGAAATACCCCATATACTTTTCTAAACACAAATATAATTTTTCCAGAACGTGTCAAAAAATGATTAAACGAGCACTGTTACAAAATCTTTGTTTGCCTTTATTAAATAATAATTATTTATTTGTGATTTAAAATAAATATTTTTTCAGGGCATTATTTCCATGTGGTGATAATATGGTTTGTATAATAGATGACCGTGAGGATGTTTGGTCACACGCAACGAATCTAATCCACGTAAAACCATATCATTTTTTTCAACACACCGGTGATATAAATGCACCTCCAGGTTTAGACAAACAAGAAAACGACGAAAAAGCAGGTGTCGATTTAACAAAAATTAAAATAACATCGACGTCTAATAAAAAAGTCAATGGAAATTATGTTACACCAACAGAAAACAACGATGTTAGTAAAACAACGTCCAATGGTGACCAAAAAATTGATGAAGAAACTAATAGTACAAAAAATAAAGAAACCGCAACAAATGGAGATTTAAAAAAAGATAGTGAAAAAAATGGTAATGATAAAGAAGAAATTAAGGAAGATATAGAGACAAAATGTGATGTAGTAAACGTAAATAATAAGGAAAATAATGAAGAGCATAAAGAAGAAAGTAATGAAGAAAAGGAAAAAGTAAATAATGATGAAAACGAAAAAGTAAATAATGATGAAAATGAAAAAGTAAATCATGATGAAAATGAAAAAGTAAATAATGAGGAAAATGAAAAAGTAAATAATGATGAAAACGAAAAAATAAATAATGAAGAAAACGAAAAAATAAATAATGAAGGAAACGAAAAAATAAATAATGAAGAAAACGAAAAAGTAAATAATGATGAAAACAAAAAAGAAAATAAAGATGATAACAAAAAAGAAAATAAGCAAAATGAAGATCTAGGAAATGAAAATCAAATTGATAGTGATAAAGAATATAAAGATTTAAAAGAAGAAAATGTTAAGTTTGAAAAGAAAAGTGAAATGGTTGAAGATTTAATAGAAATTGATGACCCTGATGATTACCTCTTATACCTAGAAGATATCCTTAAAAACATTCACCAAACATTTTATGATGAATATGATAAGTTAGAATCAGGGCAGGTCCCTGATTTAAAGCAAGTTATTCCCAGGGTTCGATGCCAAGTTTTAAAAGGTTGCAACTTAGTGTTTAGTGGTTTAGTACCAACACATTTAAAACTGCATGATTCCAAAGCTTACCAAGTAGCAAAAAGTCTTGGGGCGAAAATAACGCAAGATCTTCAAGAAGATACGACACATTTAGTAGCTGTTCGACCCGGTACTGCAAAAGTAAACGCGGGTAGACGAAGAAAAAATATTAAAATTGTAACGTCCGATTGGCTTTGGGCTTGTGCGGAACGTTGGGAACACGTGGAAGAAATTATTTTTCCTTTAAATAGTAAAGGGTCAAAAAACCGACACCCTCCGCCGCATTGCAGCAGTCCAGAACACGTCCCAAATTATCCCGAAGGTAATCAACAACGGAAAAGGACAAGTAGCGGAAGATTTATCGATATGATTCCAACTATGATGTGTTTCTCAAGTGATGATATAGCCGATATGGGAAAAGAAGTTGATGCTTTTATGGATGATGACGATGAAAGCGATAGCGAAAGTGAGGCGGAAAATGTTAAAGATGTACCAAAAATTTGTGTAAAAAAAGATGAGAAAGAATCGAGTAGTTCGGATGAATCTTTAACAGGGGAATATCCAAAAGGTAACTACACTGTGTTAATTAATTGTCGTATCCGACGTCATCATTGCAGGTATGCAACCAATATCACAGTATTGACTAACTAACACTAGATGAACTTCTGTTATAAAACTTCTATTATATGATAACTAACTTCAAGTTTAAAATGTCAACCTCAATTTTGACATATTTGTAATCTTCATTAGAAATCCTTTAAAATGAGTACAAACACGACATATTTATCTTCAATATTGAAGTTATGGTCAACTTCCAGTTAAGAATATCAACGTCAATTTTGAAATATTCGTAATCGTCGTGAAAAATCTTTTAAAATAAGTCCAAACATGATACGTTTAATTCGAATGTTACTTGAGTTATAAGCAACTTCCAATTTCAAATGTCAATGTCAATTTGAAATATTCTTAATTTTTATAAAATGTCTTAATATTTGTCACAAAAACAAAAATATAATAAAAAAAAGCAAAAATTAAGGTTGGTATTAATATTGAAAAATTAAATTGCTATCTTCATTGTTGCTAACTTCGGGTTTAATGTTTTTTATTCTAACTTTTTTGTTTTTTGAAATAAATTCGTCTTGTTTGGATTCATTTTAAAGGTTTTTTTAATAAAGAATACATCATGAAAGAACACCATGAAGTTGTCCATTTGTCTATTATATGATAACTACCTTCAGGTTTAAAATGTCAATCTCAATTTTGACATATTTGTAATCTTCATTACAAATCCTTTAAAATGAGCACAAACACGATATATTTATCTTCAATATTAATGAAGTTATGGTTAACTTCCGGTTAAGAATGTCAACGTCAATGTTGACATATTTGTAATCGTCGTGAAATATCCTTTTAAATATATCCAAACATGATACGTTTATTTCGAATATTTCGAGATATAAGCAACTTCCGATTTGAAATGTCAATGTCACTTTGACATATTCTTAATTTTTATAAAAATGTCTTAATATTTGACAAAAACCAAAAATATAATTAAAAAAATCAAAAATTAAGGTTGGTATTAATATTTAAAAATTAAATTGCTATCTTCATTGTTGTTAATTTCGGGTTTAATGGTTTTTATTCTAACTTTTTTGTTTTTTTAAATAAGTGCGTCATGTTTGGACTCATTTTAAAACTTTTTAATAAAGAATACGTCATGAAAGAATACCATGAAGTTGTCTATTATATGATAACTAACTTCAGGTTTAAAATGTCAACCTCAATTTTGACATATTTGTAATCTGAATTAAAAATCCTTTCAAATAAGTACAAACACGACATATTTATCGTCACTATTAATGAAGTTATGGTCAAGTTCCAGTTAAGAATGTCAACGTCAATTTTGACATATTTGTAATCGTCGTGAAAAATCCTTTAAAATAAGTCCAAACATGATAGGTTTAATTCGAATATTACTCGAGATATAACCAACTTCCGATTTGAAATGTCAATGTCATTTTGACATATTCTTAATTTTTATAAAATGTCTTAATATTTGTCACAAAAATATAATAAAAAGAAAAACAAAAATTAAGGTTGGTATTAATATTTAAAAATTAAATTGCTATCTTAATTGTTGTTAATTTCAGGTTTAATGGTTTTTATTCTAACTTTTTTGTTTTTTTAGATAAGTGCGTCATGTTTGGACTCATTTTAAAGCTTTTTAATAAAGAATACGTCATGAAAGAATACCATGAAGTTGTCCATTTGTCTATTATACGATAACTAACTTCAGGTTTAAAATGTCAACCTCAATTTTGACATATTTGTAATCTTCATTAAAAATCCTTTAAAATGAGTACAAATACGGCATATTTATCTTCAATATTAATAATGTTATGGTCAAGTTTCAGTTAGAAATGTCAACGTCAATTTTGACATATTTCTAATCGTCGTGAAAAATCCTTTAAAATGACCCCAAACATGATAAGTTTAATTCGAACATTACTGGAGATATAAGCAACTTCCGATTTGAAATGTCAATGCCATTTTAACATATTCTTAATTTTTATAAAATGTCTTAATATTTGTCACAAAAACAAAAATTAAGGTTGGTATAAATATTTAAAAATTAAATTGCTATCTTCATTGTTGCTAACTTCGGGTTTAATGTTTTTTATTCTAACTTTTTTGTTTTTTGAGATAAATTCGTCTTGTTTGGACTCATTTTAAAGGTTTTTTAATAAAGAATACATCCTGAAAGAACACCACGAAGTTGTCGATTTGTCTGTTATATGATAACTAACTTTAGGTGTAAAATGTCAACCTCAATTTTGACATATTTGTAATCTGAATTAAAAATCCTTTCAAATAAGTACAAACACGACATATTTATCTTCAATATTAATGAAGTTATGGTCAAGTTCCAGTTAAGAATGTCAACGTCAATTTTGACATATTCTTAATTTTTATAAAATGTCTTAATAAAAAAAAACAAAAATTAAGGTTGGTATTAATNAAAAAATCAAAAATTAAGGTTGGTATTAATATTTAAAAATTAAATTGCTATTTTCATTGTTGCTAACTTCGGGTTTAATGTTTTTTATTCTAACTTTTTTGTTTTTTGAGATAAGTGCGTCATGTTTGGACTCATTTTAAAGGTTTTTTAATGATGATGTCAAATATGTCAAAATTGACGTTGACGTTTCAAACCGGAAGTGATTGTATCTCTATTAGTATCAAAGTTAAATATGTCAAGTTTGGACTCATGTTAAATGATTTTTATGAAGTTGACAAATATGTCAAAATTAATAGTTGAAAGTTTGAACTTTTTGTTTTTTGAGAGAAATGCGTCATGTTTGGAGTCACTTTAAAGGTTATTTTATGAAGATTACGAATATAATAATAAA